CTGGTGCCCGATTGCAGGCGGCGCACCACCTCGACCTCTGGGCGCCTTCGCCCGAGGACCCGGTCTACGTGCAGCGCGCGAGAGAGCAGGAGGCCATGCTCATCGAGAAGTGGCTCAACGAGTACTGGGCCAAGCTTTGAGCAGCCACTTTGGTTTGTCCAACCTTGTTTATCGACGCGGCGCGGTGGTCGGCGATGGCGTGTTAGAAGGCGACGGCGTGTTCGACGGCGCCGGCGTATTAGAAGGCGACGGCGTGGCCGAGTTGGAGGGCGATGGCGTGTTGGAAGGTGACGGAGTGGTGGACGGCGACGGCGTATTCGAGGGCGACGGCGTGGCCGAGTTGGAGGGGGATGGCGTGGTAGAGGGCGACGGCGTGGTGGAAGGCGACCAACCCCCATTCAAAACAAAAGGCCGGATAGAGAAAAAGGGGAAAAGATGATAGCCGACCGTGGGGCTCGAACCCACGACCACAAGATTAAGAGTCTTGCGCTCTACCGACTGAGCTAGGACGGCTTCGCGTGCATACTGCCCTCGCAGTTGTTGTTTGGGTTGTGAGATGCCCAGAAGAATCAAAAAGAGATCAAACCTCCAGGTCGATCGATCGAGAGTGAAGAAGCAAAGGATGAGTGAGAGGGGGTGTGCCTGCAAATGCCAAAAGGATACGGCACGGTGGATTCCCGGGTGGTCGCCCACCCCAGTACTAACACCGCCTGGCGCAGCTTAACTTCGCTGTTCGGATGGGAAGCGGTGCTTTCTGCGCAGTATGGCCGTATCCGTCTGTTATCACGTTGTTCGCCCACGGGTTTCACAGTCCTTAGCTCTCGAGAGGGGCACGATACTTGCCAAAGCAGAATCAATGTTATGAGGCAAAGCTGGATTCCGACTCGTTCGCCTTTATTTTACATGAGGGGCAATCGCCCGCTACAGCTCCTCCGAAGAGATGCCACCGTCCACGGCTTGGTAGTGCACTGTGATTCGCTGCTTCCTGACCCACACGGCCAGGCCGACGGCCGCTGCACCGATCAGGCCGATAGCAGCCAGCACGCCCAGGACGATCCCCACCGTCGTGCCCGCGTCACCGTCATCACCGCCGCCCTTGTGAGGTGGGAAGGGTGTGGGCTCTTCCGCGCGGCAGCCGTTGAGCCCGAGGGTGAATACGCGCTCATCGGGCTGGTTGTGTACGACCCAGCTGCCAGGGCGGGCCGCGACTGCCAACCCGCGTAGGACGGCCAGGGGCAGCTCTGGGTCTTGCACGGCGGGGGTATTGCACAGCCAGCCCATACTCCCGGGCAGCATTGCCACCAGCCAGTAGTGGCCCGGTGTGAGCAGAATGCCCCCGGGCCGTGTTGTGTTGAACGTCCGCCGCTCCCTCTCGCCATACGGAACCGACGCCACATGGAAAGTAGCGTTGGTCAGCGCCGGCCCGGGGCCTGGGTTGGAGGCTTGGTCGCTGTGGATCGCCAGGGACTCGAGTACCGAACCGTTACCTGCGTCGGCGACGTCCTTAGAAGAAAGCGCATAAAAACATCGGGGCAACAAAGAACGAAGACGAAGGCGTGAGGTCGGGGTACGGATTGTCCAGAAGTGGGAAGTGAAGGACGTGACGCGGCTGGTCTTCTTGACGTGAAAGCTCTGCGCCAGGCCGCTCGCGATGTAGACTTCGCTCCGCCCTTCAGGAAAATTCGCCGCCAGCGGACCGCCACAGCCCTCTTCGCCAGCCGCCGAGGAGACCAACACACAGCACCACAACACCAACACCAACACCGCCCTGTCCATCTTATTAGGTGTGTTGTGCTTCGCCGTTGTGACCGCGGTTTGTATTGACACCGAAGTTACAATGTGAAAATTGTTTACATTCCTCCCCTTGTTCCAAGCTGTCCAGGTCCATGCTCTCTTGGTCGGGCGAAAAGTTGGGCTTTGTGGGGCGAAAAGGTAAGCCAACAGCACCTCACTGCGAGCGGCGGGGGATTTCTTAAGGTGGTCGAACGAGTTCGAACCGCCGACAACGGAGCAAGACCGTAGGTTGCTGACGTGGCGGGCTGAACTAGCCCCGTGACGTGGCAGTACGAGTTCGAACAGACAATAATTCGATTTATTGTTCAAACCAACAATCCATTTGTTTGCTGAACGCCAAAAAGTGCTTCTGGGCCTCACCACAAACGAGCTCGTGAAGGCGCAACTGTACAAGGCGCAGGACAACATCCGCAACGTGACCGTCACCGACGGCGAGGCAGAGCCGCAGGGCGGCAGGAGCACCAAGTCCACCGGTCTTTCGCTCTACTTTGAGCTGCCCAATGCCGACCGGAAGGCGCCTGCCGCTGGTGAGGAGGGCGCCGCCCAGCAGGGTCCTCCCCGAGGGCTTCCTGCTCAACCTCATTGACTCGCCGGGCCATGTCGACTTCTCTTCGGAGGTGACCGCTGCGCTGTGTGTGGCTGACGGAGCGCTGGTGGTGGTCGACTGTGTGGAGGGCGTGTGCGTCCCAACCGACAACGTGCTTCAGGACCGGCCAGACGGTCCGCATTCTCGGCCCGGAGTACATAACATACCCGGCCAGAAGGTGTGCCGCACCTCTCCCCCGCCACAGCCCCTGCCCCCTCGGTTCTGAGGTCACTCTTTCTTGCGTGTGACGTTGTACGGTCGGATCTGTATGTGAAGACCATCCAGAAGGTGTGCATCGCCATGGGCAGCTACTTCGATAGCATGGGCAGCGTGCCTGCCGGTAACACGGTGGGCCTGGTCGGTCTCGATCAGTTCCTTATTAAGTCCGGCACCTGTGCGTCCAGTGCTCCATCGATGAGGCCACGGGCGAGATAATCGTGGCTTCGGCGGGCGAGCTCCACCTGTATGCCGTGCTCGCCGAGCTGGCCGACCTGTCGCGAGTGGAATTCCACCCGTCAGACCTGATGACCTCGTTCAGGGAGACCGTCACCGAGCGGACGCCCGAGGTGTGTCTCGCCAAGTTGTGGGTATCGGCCGACCCCTTCCCCGAGGGCCTGGCCGACGCCGTCAAGAGCGGCACCAACATTCGCGCTCGGGCCTCGGTGCTTGGGAGAGAGCTGGCCTACCGCTTCGGCTGGGACCTGCTGGAGTCGCGCAAGATCTGGTGCTGGGGCCGGAGATGACCGGACACAACGCGCTCTTCGACGCGACCTGGGCATTCCGTCGGTGAGCGAGATCTAGGACTCGTTCGTGAGCGCCTTCCGATGGGCCACGCGCGAAGGAGCCCTGTGCGGCGAGGTCATGCGCAGTGCGCGCTTCAACCTCGCCGACGTCCCGCTCCACGCCGACGCCATCCACCGTGACGCCGGCCAGATCATCCCCACTGCGCGCCGCGTGCTCCACGCTGCGCAGCTCTCCGCTCGCCCGAGGTTCAGGGCTCATGAGCCTAGTGCGTGTTCGACCATGGCAGGCCATGAGCGGCGATCCGCTCGACCCCAACAGCACGGTCGGTGAGGCCGTGCTCGGTGTGCGCAAGCGCAAGGGTATCGAGGCCGAGCTCCCCACCGCGGCCTTCATGGACACGCTCTCTTCCCCCCTTCTCTTTCCTTCTCAATCCCAGCTCTATCGATCGCGGCTGAGGAGATGGTTGCCTCCGCAGACCACCCCACGGCTCGCCAGACAGAGGAACGCGAAAGTGCTTCGCAAGTGCTCTGTTGGAGGGTCTTCCAAACACATCAACTCCTCACCGCGCACACGTGTACCTGGTTTGCGGAATGGAGTGTGTTTCTCGTTGAGTTCCTTTTGGTGGTTGGCTGTAAACGCCCCACACCACGGCGTGACCACGCCACAACAAAGAAAATAATCAACACAGCGAGAGCAGCAAACGCAGCAGACAATGAGCAGTTTGAGTAGCATGTTCAACTACACAGAAATGGCGTCCATCTTTTGGATGCTGGCCATCGTCGCATTCGTGGGTGGATCCATCTTCTGTGTCGCAGCCTCCCTCGCCGACCACGAGAGTCGCGCCGCCGGTGGCAAGCTGCGTGCATCTTCCACCAGAGAAACTCAGCGCATGCTATAAATGTAAAAAATGATAAAAGATATGAGAATAAAGATTTCTGTGGGAAGAACTGTATTTAAGAACAGACAGGGTGAAGGCTTCTCGTTTACGAGCTCTCCTCGGTCCTGAGCCTGGCGCTGGCGTTGGTCACCTTGACGTTCAGCTGGGCGGCCCTCTCGATGATCTCCCTCCTCTTCTTGGAGGAGACGTTGTGGGCGATCTCGGCGGCGTACTTGCGGTTGTGCATCAGGAGGAGCTCGAGGTCGTTCACGTTGTAGACGCGGAAACGGTGGAAGCCGTTGGGCAGCATGTGCCTGGTCTTCTTGTTCGATCCGTAACCGATCTTGGGCATGATGAGGGAACCCTTGAACTTCCTCCTCACCCTGTTGTCAATACCGCGGGGCTTCCTCCATGAGGTCTGCAGGATGACGGTGATAAAGAATAGAATAAGGTAAGCATTGATGAATTGGTGTGAATTAAAAAAAAAGATGCTGTGGCAAAAGGATGGCAGCACTTACCTTGACGCGGAGGAAAAGATCGGACTGGAAGCGGGCGATCTTCTTGGTGCGCTTCTTCACAATGCGCTTCTTGATGAGGGGCTGAGTCATTCTGTAAATGTCAAGCGGATCACAGGGTAAGCATCACAGCGAAGGTGCTCTCAGCCTGTTCACCAGGGGAAGGCGTGTGGGCCTCAAAGATCGTTGGATGGGGGCCGAACCTGGGCTACCCTACGCTGCTGCGACGGACGATGCGAGATGGAGAGGGAGAAAAAGAGAGAAGGGTTGGAAATCCCGGAAAATACGGCTTTTGTCCTGTGGCTTGAATGCCTGGATAAAACCGGCTTCTTCCGGAAGAAATCAGCCTTTTTCCTTGCAATAAACAAAAAAAATCCCAGAGGAGATTTTGGATCAGAGTGCGCATCAGCGGCTGAAGTGGAAGATGGCGACGCTGGCAGCCAACATCCCTCCCGAAAAGCGAAGTGCGTAGAACAGGCAAACAATTGCATTCATTTTCGCCCCCCCCCAAGCTCTTCTCTCAATTTTCGGTCATTGACAACATTCCTCGCCTCTCCAGCTGTCATTGACAAGACTGCCGATTTCGTGGCACGAAATGGTCCCGCGTTCGAGCACAAGATCCTGTCGAACGAGAAACAGAGCGCGACGTTCAGCTTCCTTCTTCCACAGATCCCTTCCATGCCTACTACAAGCGTCGCATTCAAGAACTGAAAGGCCTTCTTCCCGGCCAAGACGGCGCAGAGGTACCCCCCCAACAAATCATCAACTTTATGCTTCTCTCTCCCTAAGCCCTAATCACAATTCGTTCTTCGATGGGCGTTTCGTTTGCCCTCTGCCGCAGGCTGCCTCCATATCGGCCTTGCCGACCAAGAAGACCGTGGCGGAGAAGGAGGCGAAGCCGGCAAAACCGCTCAAGGCGCCCGAGCCCGAGGAGTGGATCATCGACATACCCGAGCTGCTCACCGCACTCGACCTGTACGCTCGCCTCTCTCTCTCTCTCTCTCTCTCTCACTCTCACTCGCCACAGCGCCCGCCCGGCGGTGCCTCTCTTCCTTTAATTCTCACAAATGTGATCGTGATCGCGTGACGCGTTGTCGTCGTGTGCGCGTGTGTGCAGGGAGGTGATCAAGCTCGCGGCGCAGTTCGTGGCCCGTAACGGCAAGCACTTCTACCTGGGCCTGCTCAACAGGGAGCAGCGCAATCCGCAGTTCGACTTCCTCAAGCCACAGCACTACCTCCACAGGTTCTTCAACACGCTGGTCGACGCCTACACCAAGGTGCTCATGCCGCCGCACGACCTCAACACCAAGCTCGATGCGCTCCTCGACAAGCACAAGATCTACGAGGGCCTGCTCGACCGAGTCGACTGGGAGAAGCACCAGCAGCGACTCAAGGACGAAGAGAACGAAGAAGAGAAGGAGAGGATGGAGCGGGCGCTCATCGACTGGCACGACTTTGTGGTGGTGGAGACCATCGTGTTCGACGATGATGAAATGAAGCCGCCGGCCGCTCGCGCAGGCGCGGCGCAGGCCGGTGGTGCCGAGCGAGCGGCCGTCAAGCACGAGAAGCAGGACGCGGGCGATGACATGGACATGGACGTGGAGATGGAGATGGACCTCGATGACCAGGAGATCCGAATCGTGAAGGGCGAAGCGCCGAGGCCGACGCCCAGCGTGGGCACCTCCGAGGCGCTCAAGTACTCGATCTGTCCGAAGTGCGGCGAGAAGATCCCGCTCGAGGACATGGAGGAGCACATGCGGATCGAGCTGCTCGACCCCATCGCGCGTCAGAAGAAGCTCGAGCAGATGAAGCGCCGCCGCGAGAGCTCGCTGGCCGAGGGCGACGAGATCAGCAAGAACCTGCGCAACCTGAGCGCGCTCCGTCCGGACATCTTTGACGAAGAGGAGGAGGCGCGCAAGGCCGAAGAGAACCGCCGGCAACAGCCCAAGATCATCTGGGACGGTCACACGGGCTCGATCGCCGCCACGGCTTCGGCGGTGATGGCCGGCATGACGCCCGAGGAGAAGGCCAAGGCCATTGCCAAGGCCGAAGCCGACCGCGGCCCCAAGATCGGCCCGGCCATTTCGACCACCCAGCCGGCTGCCCCTGGCCCCGCCCCCGGCCAGCAGCCGCCCGGGCCTCCCGGCCAGCCGCTCCTGCCCAGCCCCGGCCAGCTCCCGCCCGGCGCGGGCGCACCCGGCCAACCGCCACGCCCCCTCGGAATGCCCGGCATGCCTCCTGGGATGCCGCCCATGGGTACGCCCCACTCTCTCTTCCTCAACACCTTCAACGTCTTGCTCGTCGCCGTCTTCTTCGCTCACCTTATCTCCCCCCCCCCTTTGCGCCATCACGAAGGAATGCCGCCGGGTATGCCGCCTGGCATGATGCCCTACGGGATGCCCGGAATGCCTCCCATGCCCGGTATGGCCCCGCCCGGCATGCCGCCCCACATGCAGGGAATGCCGCCGTTTGGCATGCCGCCTCCGGGCTACGGCGTTCCCGCGCCCGGACAGGTACGTCGCCGCGCGCCTGCGTTTGATGCGTTCTTGTCTTCTTCGAATGCGCGTTTGAAGTACGTTGCTGACGCGGCGGTGACGCGTAAATACGCGAATAATAGGAGGAAGAGGAGCCGTCGCTCAAGAAGCAGAAGACCGGACCCAGCCTCGTGCCCGAGGAGGAGTTCATCGCGAGCCACCCTGGCCCGGTGACGATCAAGGTGACGGTGCCTCCGGCCTCCGAAAAGGGCGCGCAGCCAGAGTGGAACTTCGACGGCCAGACGCTCGAGTTCAGCATGGACCCCAAGTACGTTTCCTCCTCTGAAGTTCAGCTAAACGCTCGGATGCGACTTACTCGGTTCTTCTCACGCGTGCACTGAACGTTCAGGCAAACGATTACGGACCTCAAGAACTTGGTGCGGGACCAGCTCGGCGGGATGCCCCCGGCCAAACAGAAGTTGGAGTCGGTCGGTCTGGGCTTCTTGAAGGACAACCTCTCGCTCGCGGCGTACAACATGGACAGCAACACCGTGATCGCGCTGGGCGTGAAGACGAGAGGAAGGGGAGGCAAGAAGTAGAGGAGAATCCTGTGGTATTGACTCTTCTCGACTCGGCGTCCGAGACACTTCATAAAGTCGCCTACTGCTCTGGCCTTGTGCGGTGCCTGGGTGCACTCACGAACCTGCGGCTCTTCGAGGCCTCGCTCGCGGAGGGGCTTGTGGGAGCGCTTGTAGGAGCTGGGGTCTTGCTGCCTGCAACCAGGCAGCGAGTAAGCATGTGCCACAACGATAACGACTTTGCTACCGGACGTACCGGGCGCAGGATTGCAGGAGGCGTAGATGAGCCGCAACGGAAGGAACGGAAGGTATAATACCACCAGCCCGAACCAGACGAGTGCAGTAAGTACACGAGTACCCAGGGTCGTTGCTGCTTCGGACACGAAGTCCAAGCGCCTGACGACAGGTGAGTCGGGCTCGGGCGCCCTCATCGTTTGGCGCAGCTTCAGGAACAGCTTAGGCGAGTCCCTCGGGGAGAAAGCGAAAACCTCGACGCTTGAGGCGAAGCTAAGGCTCTTCCTCTTGCGCGAGAGCGACCTTGGGTCCATGGGGCTTGGCGAGAAGAGCGAGGAGCGGCGACAGATGGGCGTCGACAGCAACTGATGATCGTTGCGGGGCTCGGCAGCGGGGGAGGGCAGGCGCTCTGCGTTCTCCGTAGCTTGGAGAGTAAGGGCAGTCTTTCTCAGATCGGGCTGAGGCTTCCTGCACACACTTAAGGGAGAGGAAGCGGGTTTCCTCTCCCCGACCTCGAAAACCGACGAGCGTATCAGAGAAAGCCGATTCCTACGATCGATAGCTCGAGAAGGGTAGAGTTGGAGTTCGCACCTTCTTGCCGCGTGGGTGCAGCTCCTCATACCGGACACCGGGGGTATCAGGAGGATCATCGTACCTCGGCTCGTTTTGGCGCTGCCTGCGTTGTGTAGAGGATAATGGGAGTTGAAGTTGAAGCCGCTACGCCGTAGCGAAGAATCAGAGCATACCTCTTATGTTCACGTTCTTCATCAAGCCTCCGCGGCGGGCAGCGACGTCCCTGACGGCTCTTGCCCATCTTCTTCATGTTCGCTTGTCTCTCTGGCGTGGCTTGCTTGCTTGCTGCGAAGTTTTGTGTACAAACACAAAAAGGCGCCAAGCCGCTTTGCCGGCATTTCCACTGAGGCGGGGGGGGGCGTGCCGGCATTTACCTGCTTTGATGCCCTTCGGTTGAGCCCACTTCTTACGCCCCTCTTCTTGATGTCAAGCTGAGGGTCACAGGCGACACAGCTTGAAGAGGAGACGTGCCGTGAGAGAGAGATTTATTCGCAGTTGTTGAAGGGAAAGGGGATAACGACATGCGTGACGTGCCGCAAGGCTCTCTAGTTGATGGTGACGTCGATGTTCTTGGGCTCGAGAGGCTCCATGACGATGGTCTCTCCAGCTTCGGTCCTGGATTGCCTCTGGGCCTCCTCTCGCTCGGCGTCCTCTTCCTCGTCGTCCAGCTTGAGGTAGGGGTTGTCCGCGACGGGTCTGAACTTGTAGCTGTACAGACTCGAATGGTAAGCTTCCGAAACACGTAGAAGAAGCAAGCGAACAGGGAAGAGGTGGGTTGTGTGTACCCAGTGAGGCCCCAGAAGATGAGGGTGGCGAGCTCGGTGAAGAACTCTCCCAGCCAGACATACTGGTAGTGGAGGGTAGCATCGAGCAAGAAAACGATGATGCGGGTGAAGTAAATGTAGGTCACCACCAGCAGGTAGAACTCCCTGAAGAGCTTCAGCTTCTCCATGTTCCTCTTGGCTGCAGCAGAGCGCCCGTAATGTGTTAGAAGCGGCTCGCGAGCAGGGCCATGACGTGCAAACGAATACAACTGAGTTGAAGCGAGGTGGTTACCTTTGCCATCGATCGCGGCAGCATCGCGCAAGTGCTTGATGGACCAGATGATGGGCACGAGGATGGCACCGCAGCAGATGATGTCCACGAGACGCAACACCTCTTTCTAGAGTTGCCAAGAGGCACGGTGCAGGTTAGAAAGAGAGCTAGAGTGTACACCAAGTCGAGGAAAAGGAATGCATACCCAGGTGAACCATCCCTGGGAACCGGGGGCAGTCTCCTCGAGGACGATGATCGCGATGTTGGCCAGGATCTGCAGGGGGATCACTACCAAGAAGATATTCTTGTCCTTCTCCCCAAGGAAGGGCTTGATGAAGGCCCAACCGGTTCCGATCAGCGCGATCACCACGAACATCATGGTGCCCTTAAGACTGTAGTTCAGGAGACGAAAAAGTAAGTGCGTTGTTGAACACGAAAGAGGAGCGAGTCTAGCTCGAGCTGTCCTACGCACCCAGAGAAAATGTAGTAGGCGATGACCCAACCGCCGGGGTGGCCCGTCGTCTTCTTGTAGTGGAACTCGATCTAGACCGAGATTGGCATTGTGGCGCAGCCGTGTCAGCACATCGAGCAAAAGAACAACAGATAGATCGACGTGCGGAAGAGATCGGGGTATGCATACCGCTTCGAACAGCAGAGTGAGCAGCTTAAGGAGAATGATACCGGTGACCAGGTGGTGGATGCGGAAGATCCGCTTACTGAAGCGAGTGGCGTGTTAGCAATGACTCGACGGATGCAGCGAGAGACGGTGCACAGCCAAGCAGGCCAACGAGAGAGCAAAAGGAGGGGCAGCCTACCCCTGACCACGCATGAAGTGGAAGAGCCACACGCCCAGAATGACAGTCCAGACGACGAAGAGCATAGCGTAAAGTGTGGGCAGCGCGGTGAGACCGGCCGACAGATAGTTGGGGCCGGGGTTGTAGTTCGTCAACGTGAGCTGGAGCGGAACACGAACGAAGGGTGAGTAACGAACGGGCAGAGCAAACGAGGTTGTGGAAAATGAGGAACGACGCGTACGTCGAAGGAGACATAGGTCCCAGGCTGGCAGTTGAGGAAAACGACGGTGTAGAAGCCTTCGGGGCGAGTCTTGTCGATGGTGATAACCTTCGACTGCTTCTCGTTCTCCTTGCTCCTAAACTCATTCAAATGAGGATGTAAAGAAGGATTTTCGCCCATTCCCGCAACAAAAACGGGGAGCACGTACGGTTTGGTCACCTTCACAGCGATAGTGTCGCCCCTTTCAGGTTCATCAAGGAGGCTCACGCATTTGCTAGCATCCGTTTCTTCGATGAAGGATCCGCTGTCAGTCTCAATGTGCTTGATGATGAAGCCCGCGCTAAGATCGTCCCAAAGACTGCCCTTGTCATCCACCACCTGCAGCCACGGGGCGTGAGAGGCAATTCTCCTTTTGCAAAACTTTTGCACTCGACAAGCTGCCTACCTTGAAGTTTTCGATCGCCATCTCCATCACACCGCCCGTGAAGAAGCCAAATGTTTCGATTCGGAATGCGAGACGTCGATCATTCTTGATCGAGAGCTTGTGAATGAGGCCATTCGCTGTGGGCGCCAGGAACGCGACCAAACAGAAGATTAGGAAGCACCCCATAAGGGTCTGCCTCCGATCGCGCATCATCCTCTCCTCCTTCACTTTACCACGCGTTTGCCTTTTAGGCAGAGAGAACACCATTTTTGCAGACGTGGCGCCATCAAAGCTGCAGGATCTGTGCACGTTGGGCGCCACAAAAACAGCGTTCCACTTTCCTGCGGCTGGACGAGACGTCAGGAACCAAACCTGAGCGGCATGGATGGCCACACGACAGGCTGCTTGAGATCGCAAGCGCGGTTGTAGATGGTGGTCAACATTCCCTCGAGCTCCTCGACCTTGTCCAAGCCCTTGGTGCCAAACAGACGCGCGCGTTCGAGCCGTTCATCAGACGCACCGCCGGCCTCACCTCTCGCTGCGGACACATACACGCAGATGAGGCTAGCGTCCAAAGCCTTTTGCAGGTGGGCAAGACATATGCCATACCTAAAGTACTCAGCGTGACGAAGGCTCCTGTCTTGCGGGCATAGCGCGCCTTCTTTGCCTCCTCACGAGCTCTAGCCTGCTCCTTGCGTCGCTGCACAGACATGGTCAAATCAGCGAATGTGTGGACATAAGGTGGATACATTTTGGTGGGCTTGAGGGCGGGCAGGTCTGCGGTCGTACCCTGTTCTTCTCCTTTCTTCGTCTTTCATCACTGCGAGCGAACAGTGCGATCGCCTCTTCTGACAGGACATAGAAAGGCGTCCTCTCTTCCCCTTCGTCCACTTGCGCTTCTTCTTGCTCCATCAGCACACCGCCATTATCCATCTCGCCTTCGTCCTCAGCCATCGCTTCTTCTCGCTCGTTCTCTTCCTCTTCCTCTTCCTCATCATCATTCTCCTCTTTCGGGTCGGGCTGGTAATACCCGTACGGTGCAGGAGGGAACGGGTGGGGATGTGGAGGATAGGGGGCGTAGAGATACGGAGCAGGAGAACAACACGGTGGTGGGGCAGCGCAGTAGCAGGGCGCTGCATAGTGGTAGGGCGCAGAGTAGGCGCCAGGGAGGGACGAAGGAAAAGGGTGCCATTGAGCGGGAAGCGCTGGCGGCCAATACGGACCTGCCGCCCCCCTCGCCGCCAGAGGAGGTGTTTGCTCCATCTTTCTTCGCCTCTGCCGCGAGAAAAGTTTGGTAAAAACGCAAACAAATAACGGCTGCATTCCTTGCGTTCTATCAATCAAATTTCGAGTGAGAACCCTTCTCGGGACGGGAAAGTGGGGAGGAAATTCAAATTGTGTGATTTATGTCTGCCCCACAAGAATAAGTGAACTGGTCGAGCGGCTTGTTGCGTCATAGCTCCACCCAACGCCTGTCCACACGCCACTCCACCTTCAACCCCCCCCCCCAAGTGGCCCTCGAGCAGGCGAAACTCGGAGAGGGCGTAGTCCACCAGCACGAGGTGATGACGGGCTTGTGGGATGTTGTGGCGGCCGGCCGGTTGCGGGAGACGGCCTCGCTCCTGCAGCGTGGGGGCGAGCAGGACACGAAGCGGGAACTGCACCGGATGGACATGAACGGGGACAACCTCCTCATCCTGGCCGTGCGCTCGAGCAATCCGGACCTCGTCCAGCTGCTGCTCGACAACGGCAGCCAGCCGGACATGCGCAGCCGCAAGACAGGCTGTAGTGCCCTGCACGAAGCCGTCCGTCTTCCGCCAGGAATCGACACCATGCGCACACTCGACCTTCTCGTTGAGCGTGGCGCCTACGTCAACCTCCGCGACAAGGCAGTACGTGTCTCTCCATGTTGTAGGGCAGATCGCCCACCTGCTTTCTTCATGAAAGGTATAACCTCCATGTTTTGCTCCCCCTAGGGTCAGACACCGCTACACATGGCCACCGAGCTGGCGTTCGAGGACGCGATCGACTACCTACTGTCGGTGGGCGGCAACCCTACGCTCAAGGACAAGAAGGGCCGCAAGCCGGTGGGCATCGCCAAGGCCAACACCGATTCGCACATCTTCGAGACCTTCTTCAACCTCGATTTCAAGAAGCACCAGGAGCGCAAGCAGAAGGGCAAGCGGAAGGGCGGCGTGAGGAAGAAGAAGGACCCCAACCAGCGCGTGTTCAAGGCCATCCTGCTCAACCGGCTGAAGGACCTGGAGAACACGTTGAAGGTCGGCGAGAAGAGCGGAGTGCGGGTGAACTGCACCAGCCACAGAGGTCACAGTCCGCTCTACTTGGGTGCGCTTCCGCTTCTCACCACACTTGCGATCAGTCGTGCTTAGGAACGACATCTCACCATCATTCATGTCACCGTGGCATCACTGCAGCCAGCAAGCTGGGCCATTTGGAGGCGTTGAAGCTGTTGATCAAGTACGGCGCCAAACCCAACATCATGAACACGAGTGGAACGACTGCTCTACATGCCGCTGCCGAAGGAGGGCACGACGCTGTAATCGAGGTACGTAGGAACAGGACTCCTCATCTACGGCGAAGCCAGACCCGAGTTCCCTAACCACCATCATCTTACCATGTTGTTATTGTTGGTGTGGTGATGCGGCGCTAGGTGTTGCTCGAGCACGGAGCGCCGATCGATGTGCGGGATAACGACAAAAAGACGCCGCTGGATCTCGCCTTTCAGAAGGGCAAGGGGTCCACCACGCGCTTGCTGTTGAATCTGATTCTCAGTCGAGGCCAGACCTTCTCCCAGAAGCGGTACTCTCGCTCTCTCACTTCTTCTGATGTCGGCGGGAGGATCCACTCACCACAAACCGTTCTCGCTCGGTGGGCAGATGGGACTGGATGTTTCGGAAGGCAACTAAGAGCGGGCAAGTGGACCTGATGCAGCTGGTGGTATGCGCCCTCTCATCCTATTCAAATGCACTACTGTGGGTTCTCCTAGCTCACATCGCCGCATCACATCACCAGATGAAGTGCTCAAAATCGCTGAACGTCAACACCCAAACATTGACCGGGTGGACGCCCTTGCATATCGCGGTGAGGAATGGCCAGGTGCGTGGCAGCTGTTACTTCGCATATAGGACTCTGGAACGCGCGCTACTAACCTCACGCCGTGTTCCTATAATAATAGGTCGATGCAGTTGCGTTCCTGTTGTCGCAAAGAGGAATCAAGACGAACCTGGGCACGGAGGCGAACTGGACGCCTCTACATGTTGCCTGCGAATACTCCAACGCCGACAAGAAGATGAAGCTCATGTCGCTCCTGCTCTCGCAGAAGGGGACCAACCCCAACATACAGAACACTGCAGGTACCCACACACCCGTTCTTCAACTCAAGCTTGCCTCACTTTGCCGTAGTCCCGATGTCGCTGACCCTGGTCTTGGTATTGATGTTGGTTGCATCCAACTCGTCTCCAGGCTTTACACCTCTGCACATGTGTGCCAAGAAGCACGATCTGGAAGGGGTCAGGTTGCTGCTGGAGTACAATGCCAATCCCGACATCAAGGACAACAAGGGCTGGACTCCGCTCTCGATTGCCTACAGCGAAAAGCAGCAGAAGGCGAAGCTGAGCAGCGACGCCGAGGGCGAGGTTGAGGTGGAGAGCGAGCAGATGGACGACGAGGAGGAAGTGATGCACTGCCTGATCGAGGCCGGTGCCAATCCCAACCAACTGTCGTTCACCTCTCGCACGTCGCCTCTCTTCGAGGCCTGCCGGGTGGGCATGGAGCGGCGAGCAGAGGTTCTCATCGGTACAATACGCCCCCCCGCCACTTGCCCTCACACGAGTGTCAACCCACTCACGCGCGATTTCTTCTCCTTCTTCTGGGCAGAGCACGGGGCCGATGTCAACTTTGTGATGCCGGCGCGCAAGGTGAAGAGGCAGAAGAGGGTGAGACGAGCCGCGATGACGCGGATGCTGCTGATGTGGAGCCTCATCCCGCTGAAGGTGCGGAGGAGATGAGCCAGGCCTGGTCCGTGCTCAGCCTGTCGGTGCTCAAGGAGCGATCGCCTCGCATCATCTCCCTCCTTGTGGAGAAGGGCGCAGACGTCAACTTCACCAACGCCAAGGGCTACACTCCGCTCCACACCGGTTCGTCTCCCCCCGGCATTCCTATTATTGTGTTCATTTTATTTATTTAATCTATGGTCGTCTTCTCGTCGTTGCAGCGGTCACGTTGGCCAACTACGAGGTGGTCAAAATCCTGCTCGACGCCGGGGCCGATCCCAACATCTGCAACGCCGACGGCACATCGCCCCTCGCCACGGCCTTTTGCGTGGCATTTGCCGACAAGGCGGAGGTCAGCACGGTGTCGGTGGCCCAGGAGGGTCTCGGCCAGAGCCAGAGCCCCGCCGCCTCGGTCACCCGCCGCCGCCAAGCGGAGAAGATCATCGAGGAGCTGTTCAGGAGAGGCGCTCGCACCGAAGCCGGCTCGGGGCAAAGCTACCTCAAGCTGCTCAAGACTGCGCTCTACGGCAACAGCACGTCCATTCTGGCTTCGCTTCTCGCACCGCGCGCCGACGCGGACGACGCGCCGCTGGTGGCGATGGAGGCGCTCGTGAGCGACTCCTCCGAGCTGCTGAACTACCTGCTCAACATGCGGAAGCGGAAGAACACGCAGCTGGACCACCTCAAGCAGCTGCTGACCCTCTTTATCGACGGCCGACAGAGCGGCGGCGGTGCCGAACTCGAGGACCCTGGGGTGGGCGCCAATCTGACGATCGCCTGCCGGCTCGACGTCAACATGACCAGGGCCGGGCGCACACCGGTGCACGATCTGGTCCTGGCGTCGGTGTTCGCAGTGGCCAACGCCAGCAAGGCAGCCGGTGCCTTGCCGCACGCATCGCTCGCGTTCGAGCGCGAACTGATCGACTTCCTCGTCGCGAAGGGCGCACAGATCAATCAGCCCGACCAGAACACCGGCTTCACGCCCCTCGTCAGCGCAGGTACACGTTGGCTTCTTGTTTTCTCGTCATGCTATTCAGCACTGCTCACCGCCCATGCTACGGCGCATCTCAGTGTTGGCCCTCAGTCTGCTGAAGGGAAACACCGACTTCTGTTGTCGGGACCAAGTCTTGAGTCTGATCGACCACCTGCTCTCCCTCGGGGCGGTGCCCTCGCTCACCATAGTCGACAAGGTTCGTCCCCTCGACACGCTTACGCCTAGCCCGCCGCACCCACCAATTCAATTCCTCTCAACAACGACACAACAGCGCGAGCGTACGTGGCTTCATCACGCGGCTCAGGCCGGCGACGCACGCAATCTAGAAACGCTACTGGCCTTGGCCGCCAAGTACGTCGGCGACGCGGGGGTCCAGGGCCTCATCGCTGCACCCGACTCCAAGGGCAGGTCTGCCCTACACCTGGCCTTGATCGCCGGCCACCTCCCGACCGTCACTTGCCTGCTCCAGGTACCCCTCTCTCCCATCCCTCAATGAGCATAGACCAGTCCCAATACTCAACTCAACTCAACCCAACCAGCACGGCGCCGACGCGAGCGCGTGCGACGGCAAGGGGTGGTCGCCACTGCAGATGGCCTACATGAACAAGGACAGCACGGAGGAGCAGCTATGGTCGATCATGACAGAGCTGGTCGCCCACGGTGCCGATGTGAACGACCGCACCAGCAAGCACACCATCCTCGACCTGGCCGTGGGCAACGGCCGGTGGGCGTTGGCCGAGAAGCTCAGTGCCATGGGTGCCACTCTGTCCCAGGGCTCTGCCCTCCGTACGACTCCTTCTCTCCCTCTCTATCTCATGCGGGGCGATCGTGCTGACCACTGAAGTGGCGCAATGCAGTGGGCCAAAAGAACAGCCGGCAGCGATGGCCGCTCCTCCACTCGGTGGCTAAGGGCGGTAACTGTGAGATCGCGAAGCAGATCCTTGACGCCAAAAGTGTTGACATCAACGACATGGACCCGCATATGGTGCGTTTCTTCTTCTTCTTCTTCCGCTGCTCTTGGCTTTGTCTAGATGGAAGGCCTTCGCACTAACCGAGAATGTCATGCGTTGCGCGATGTCGCTGAGCACAGTGGACGGCGGTCCATATCGCGGTGCTTCACGGTGACGTGAACATGACGCGGCTCCTGCTGGAGCACGGCGCCGATCCGTCGCAGAACACCAACCATGCGTGGAGCGTGCTCCACACGGCCGCCGCCCTCCGACGCGCCAAGACCACCGAGGAGCTCGCCCGACAGAAGCTGGACAAGCAGAAGCGGGACCAACGCGACTTCAAGCGCCAGGAGAGGCGCAAGGCGGCAGAGGCCAAGAATGCCAAGAATGCCAAGAATGCCAAGGCCGACGGCGCTCAACCCGAGCGCCGGCCGCGTGTCAGCCGCCAGGAGATCGAGGAGGCCAAACGCAAGCGCAAGGAGGAGAAGGCGCAGCAGGCCGAGGAGGATGTCAAGGCCGATTCGGACGCGCAGACCAACGAGGAGCTCAGCGAGCAGCTCCTGCGGGTCCTGCTGGAGGGTCCGGGCGCCAAGACGCTGAACATCAACGGAAAGGACGAGCGGGGCCGCACGGCGCTCGATATCGCCCTCCTCGTGGGCAACATCAAGGGCGGCAAGGTGCTGGCCGCAGACGGCGGGCGCACGCACAAGTTTGGCTTCCCCAATTCGAAGGGCTGGAATGGTACGGCGCACCACCACCACCCCACAAGGGACGCGATCTGGAGCAGCTGCTGATTACCAACCACGGTTGGCATTGTTGGGTTGGTTGCGTGTGTGCAGATCTGCACCGAGCGGTGTTTGAAGGTGAGCTGCGTACGGTGAGGGACATTCTCCACGTGCGATCGGAGCCGGCCTTCTCGCACATCATCGACGTCAACGCCGAAGACATGGCCGGTCTCACGCCGCTTGTACTTACTCTCTCGCGGCGCTCCCATCCACTCCAAAGCTCCTACGCAGACATTAACGCAATGAATGTGCCATTTTGTTTTATGTTCAATGCAGTTGATCGCTGCGATGAAGCCCAACGCCCGAGTGGTGAAGGAGCTGCTGGAACATGGCGCCAATCCTGCGCACACGGACCGGGCAGGCCGGAACTGCCTTCACCACGCGCTCCTGCGCAAGAGACGGTACACGCTGCCTTTGGCACCCCGTTCAGGGCCAGGAATGCCATGACTGAACTCGAGCTTCCCTCCACACAGGGCTGTGGTCAAGGTGATCATGAAGTACGTGGGCGACGATGTGGTCATGGCCAAGACCAAGGATGGATACACCTGTCTCGACCTTGCCAGCACGCAAGGTTTGGCCACACACGACACACACATCACGCACGCACACGCACGCACGCACACGCACGCACGCACACAGTGTTGATTCATGACACTGACAGCATTTCATGTCACAGCGTTCAAGAAGATGAGCCTGCACGACCTGGTCTCGAGGAACTACAAGAAGGCGGCGGTGGAGGAGAGGCCCGAGAACCGGCACGACGACCGCGAGAAGAAGGTCAAGGAGGGCCGCGAGAGCATCGTCACCCACGACGTGGCGTCCTGGGGCGGGCGCAAGACGGGCAAGGCCGTGGCGCTCGATCTCTTCGAGGACTGGCACGAATGGCAGGACGACTACGCCCGCGAGCAGGAGGAGTATGAGGCCGAAGAAGAGGCGGCCGCCCACTACGCCGAGGGTACCGGTGGCGAAGAAGAAGAAGGTGGTCGCTACTACCATCGCCAGCCGAGCCGTCACCACAGCATCGATTGGAGCGAGTACCTGCCGCAGCCCGTCTATCCGTACCCGCTCTCCGTGCCGGCCGGACCCCAGGGCGAGGAGCTTGGGGGCGACCAGGTACAGTACGGCGACTACCCGACCCTGTACGACCCCTCGTTCACCTATCCGCCGGGCTACGCCGACGACGACGCGGAGGCCACGATGGAGGTGGCTAAGTGGACCGACGGAGTGGACGGAGCGGACGGAGCGGAGGAGCATGGCTGGACAGGGTTCAGTGCTGCTGACTGGACGACCTGGGGGCTGCCCGATGATCAGTCCCGCATCGCTGATGGGAACGGGTGGGGCGAAGCCGAAGCCGAAGCCGAAGCCGACGGCGACGGCAACTCCTGGGGCCAGCCGACAGATCAGGACCCGAACGCTCTGCCCTCGGCCTGCCCCTTCTGTGGGTCTCTGTGGGCCGACTCCGAGTCCCTCACCGCCCACGCCCTTGCTGCGCACAACGCACACTTGGGCTAGCGTGTTGTATTTCGGGCGTTAGCCTTGTGCCCAGCTCTGTGTGGCGAGAATGCAAGGCTACGGCACTCTTTGTCACAAACATTCCACCGGTCTTCTAAGGGGTCACTCTCGCGGACAGGAAGAAAAGGTGTACGTTCGCTGTACAACAGCTACAAGTCTCAAACCGCTTGTGGTCCTCCCCCACGGGTCGGCGTCGCTGAGATTTCCAAGGTGGAGATAGAGCACCTCTTGTCGAAGTTCTCAAGTGTCACCAATGGGTGCCTGCTCCGCCCCTTCATGCAGCTCACACGGCAAGTACTTGCACTTGGTCATCTCTTGCTGTCCTACGTGCACCCCCTCCACTGCCACCCCTACCACCTCCCATCACCACCCCAACCATGAGTTCCGAAGGTAAGCTAAGACCGTCCTGGCCAGCGCAAACCTTGAACCTCACCCCCTTTGTCAGGCGAGCAAGCACCAGTCGTTGTTGAGTCGGTGGGCTCAGCAGGTAGCCTCAACCACGAACAGCAGGAAACGGAGGTTGGCCACAAGGAGGAGGCCATGCGCCGGAACAGTGAGGGTCTCGAGGTAGAGCAGGACGCCGACGACCCGCCCGTGCTCCGCACCGAGGTCAAGGTGGCCGAGCAAGCCTCGAATCGTACGCACGCCCTCAACCTGTCTGTACCCTCCCACTCTGCCGAACGTCACCTCACCTTGGTCCACATCTCAGCAGCTCACTCTGTGCCCGACGTGGCGCCTCGCCTGGGAATGGCCTGCCACTGCTTCTGATCGCCCCTGCCATCACCGCCGTCTCTCCGCCACCGACGCCCCTTGTCGGTCAGACTTGTCATGGTTGTCGTGTGAAGTAAAAGAAGAGCTTCTGTGCATGTTCTGTTTCTGTTGGTGGTTGCAACTGGCGCTTTCAGGCGGAGGTGCGCCTCAGGGCCTGATGATACTCCTTGGGCGCGTCGGGGAACACCACCTGGAAGACGTCGCCGTAGTAGTCCACGAAATGCGCGTCCAGACCTGCGCGTGTGTGCACACATGAAACCAAATGGTAGTCAGTTGCCTACACTTGCAGCATTCACCGCGCACGCGGTTGACACGAACGACGAGACGAAGGAAGGGGCGCGGCGTCACCTTCTCGCAAGAAGGGCTCGAGCTCGTCCCAGTCCTTCCGGTTGCCCTCGGGGAACACGAGCGTCTTCACTCCGGCCCTGCGCGCGGCGATGACCTTCTCCTTGATGCCGCCGACGGGCAGCACCTTGCCGGTGAGGGTGATCTCGCCAGTCATCGCCACGTCCTGCCGCAAGGCCGTGCCCAGCCCCAGCGACAGCAGAGACGACACCATTCCTGTCCACCAAACCGCACACGACACACACGACACACACGACACACACGACACGCACGACACGCACGACACGCACGACATACACGACACGCACCGCGGGTGAGTGTTTGAGCTGGCGGGCAGGCAGGCTTTGGCTCGTAAGGTGTACCGATGCCGGCCGAGGGTCCGTCCTTGGGCGTGGCGCCCTCCGGGATGTGCATGTGGAGCGTCACGTCGCGGAAGAACCCCTCGTCAAACCCCTCGTCTTCACCCTGCGTTGCACCCTGGGGAGAGCGCGCACGTTTGGCAGAGGAGCTCGTGGTGGTGGTGGTCGAGGTCGCGGTCGAGGTGGCGGTCTGCTTGTGGGTCTGGCCGAGCTTGTTCCAGAAGATCTTGGCGCAGGTGTAGGCGATGGAGCAGCTCTCCTGCATCACTTCTCCCATCTGGCCGGTGGTGATCAGCCGACCGCTGCCGCTGCCGCCTTCCTCCTCCGCGTCGTCCTCCGAAGAAGCCGTGGCCGGCGACTCTGACGATGCCACATCGTCGTTCGTCTTCTTGTTCTTCTCCTTCTCCTTGGCCTCCCTCCTCTTCCTCTTCTCCTCCTTCCTCACCAGCAGCTGGTGCTTGTCCACCACCGTCTCAATGTAGGGCGTCGAACCACCTAAAAAAATCACAAAAAGAAACAAAAAAGAAGATTATAGTTAGTGAATAATTGAATAATAAAATAATAAAATAATAAAATAAATAGTACCCATGGAAGTCCAGGCGAGGCCCATGACGACGCCGGGCGGGGTGGTGTCGTAGTATCTGTCGTTGGAAAACGGAGGCTTGCCGAGGAACTGGCCGAGTCCCGCGGGTTTGATGACGATGGCCCCGTGCTGGTCCTTCTCGAGGGTGAGGGCCTCCGACGAGCCCGGCTGCGCGCTCTCGTCGGCCCGCTCCTGGGTCGACTTCTTCTTGCCTCGCCCCTTGCGTACGCCCCCCTTGGCGCCCTTCTTGCCGTCACTGCCCTCAACGGCCCCCTCCTGGCGCTTCTCCTGCTCGACGACGACCTGGTGGGCCACCTTGCGCATGATCTTGTCGATCTGCTGCTGCAGATTGCGTACGCCCTGTCCCAAGCACGTGCCCGCACAAGGTCATCAGAATCGCGTGTCGTGTCGTGTCGTGTCGTGTGCGTGTCGTGTGCGCGTGTCGTGTGCGCGTGTCGTGTGCGTGTACCGCTTCTCTGGCGTAGGAATGGATGAGCTTGTGGAGGGCCTCCCTCTCGAAATTAACCTTTATCTCCGACAGGCCAGCCTCGGAGACAGCCTTCGGGACCAGATACCTCTCAGCAATCGCCACCTTTTCCTGTTCGAAATAATTATCAGTTATCAGTTAAAATATATAATTTAAATATAATTATATTAATTATAATAATAGCAAAATACGAACCTCTTCGACGTAGCCCGACAGCCGAATGACCTCCATGCGGTCGAGCAGCGGCCGCGGGATCGTGTGCAGTACGTTGGCCGTACAAATGAACAGGACCTGTTCGAATGAACACAGAACACCGATGTAATCGGTGCGTGCGTGAGTGAGGGCAGAAGACCAGGCCTGGTCTACCCGGCGGCGGCGGTGGTGGTGGTGGACTTCGGAACCTTGGAAAGGTCGTAGGAGACGTCGAGGTAGTGGTCCAGGAATTTGGTGTTCTGGGAGGGGTCCAGGACTTCGAGAAGCGCGGACGAAGGATCGCCCTTGTAGCTCGACGTGCCCACCTTGTCCACCTCTGAGAAATTCAGCGCAACACAAACGTCGCCGTGAACATGGATGCGTTGTTCGCGCGCAACTGACGAGAGGTGAGGTACCGTCAAGCAGCACCACGGGGTTGGAGGTCTTGACACGCTTCAGGGCCTGCAACAGCTTCCCCGGCATCGCCCCGACGTACGTGCGTCGGTGGCCCTTGATCTCTGCACACAAAAATTGAAAGAGAAATAGAAAATAGAAAAGAAATATAGAAATATGAAATATATATATATCCGAAAAAGTTCAGTTGTGGTGAGGGATCAAGACTACACGAGGCGTGCGCGTACCTGCTTCGTCGGTCATGCCGCCGACAGAGAAGCGGAAGAACTCGCGCTGCAGTGCGTTCGCAATCGATTTGCCGATTGAGGTCTTGCCCACGCCGGGCGGACCCACCAGACAAATAATTTTGCCTGTGCACGTCACGCCATCCCGGTCATTATCTACCACACGACACACACACGACACACACACAACACACACACACACAACACACACAACACACACGCGACACACACGACACACACACCCACACACACCGATGGAGAACGGGAAGCAATATCACATACCGGTAACTTCGCCCTTGAGTGCACCGACAGCGATAAATTCGAGGATGCGCTCCTTCACGTCCTTCAGGCCGTAGTGCTCATCCTCGAGCACCTCTGTGATTATGAATTGCGAAGCTCACACTGTCACTCTTTTGTTTTTCTCGCGTCACACTGTGCGGGGGGTGGGGCACGAACTCTCGGCGTGGTGCATGTCCAGGTTGTCCTTGGTGAGCGTGTCCCAGGGCAGGGTGGTGAGCCAGTCGAGATAGGTTCGCACCACGTTGTATTCCGTCGAACTGGGAGACAGATGTTGGAATTTTTCCTGGTCGTGTAGCGGGGGGGAGGGGTAGCAAGAGTTCATCAGGTGAGCACCGGTCAACTCTAGTGGTCGTTGTGCGTACCATCTCTTCATTGATGACCTTGGCGGCGTGTTCGGGCACCTGCTTGTCCTTGATGCGCTCCTTGAACTTGGCCATGAGTGTTTCGGTCTGCGGCTGCTCCAAGCCCAACTCTGTAATCCATCATAACCGTCGCGATATGGTAAGTTACGTTACGTCGCGACGCGAGAGGGTGTATGTACCTGTGCGGATGGCCTTGAGTTCATCGCGCAGCGTCATCTGGCGATGCCTCTCCTCCATCTTTGCGTTGATGTCCCTGTTGTACCAACACGTGTGTAAGTTGTGTTATTCTATCGGTGCTCAGCAGGCGCCGAGCGTATTGGACTTGGCGGCAGTGCTCCCCGTTTACACGTACTCTTTGATCTTCTGTGTCAGGTCGGACAAGCTGAGCTCGCGCTTGGTCAGCGCGAGCGTCTTCTTCAGACGCTCGGAGACGTCGAGTTCTTCGATGACAGCCTGCACGCGCGTAATCCTGTGGGCGTGAGTCCTTCGACGCAAGCACTCTCACCGCAAGGGGGAGTGGAGAGACACGGACCTGCTGCGCCTGCATGGCGGCGTCATCAAGCGCGATGTGGGTGATGATGCCGGCCACAAAGTCGGCGGACTCGGCAGCGTTGAGCGGATTGTGGAAGGTCCAGAAGTTGAGAAGAAGCTGCGCCGCATTATCTCGCGCAAACACGTCGCCCTTCACACACACAGCATTGGTGGTCAGCAAACAAGCAAACGACTCCGAGATCTGTCGTTGTTGTTTGTTAGCTCGGGAACGAGTTTTACCTTCGCGCCGATGCGGTGGACAATGGCCTCCAGCTCGGCCTGGAAGCCTCTGATTTGCGGGTCCTTGGGGTCGTAGGGCTTGTCCTACAGCGCCGTCATATATAACAGATATGATGATGGGTGAGCAGGGTCGCGGTGATCAACGCTGTGGTGCTGACCAGACGCAAGGGAGCAGGAAGGATCACCTGAAGTTCGGACACCTTGGCCACGAGCCGCTTGGTGCCGCTGACGGTTTCGTCGATCTTGATGCGCTTGTGCACGGACAGGAACTGGATGACGCCGACGACTCCATCCTTTTGTTGCGACGGTCGCATGGGCACCACGTTGGTGAGCACGCCCAGCACGCCCGTTTGGTGCAGTTGATCCAACGTTGTGATCTGGACACCTGTGTTACAACCGCACACGCCGCACACGCCACAATCTCTGCTTAGAAGAGAGTCTGGGACCCGCAGCATGCAGGCATGATCAGGGTACCCTTCTGCTTTGCCTCTTCGGCGTCCTTTACGATGAAGAGGCCGATGTAGGGCGAGGGATGCTTCTGACGCAGCTCTTGCAGCTCCTTCAGGAATTCGGGGTCACGCACGGTAGCGCGGCCCATCGTGCCTGTTAGAATAGAGTACAGTGACGTTATAGCGTGAAGAACGCCCACCACACATATGGATCACGCACTGTGTGATCTAGTAGGATGTGATGGAGGCCGCACCAGGCATGATCGAGGTTTTGATGACGGGCACCACCAGCACCTGCTCTGGCGTCGTCACAGTCTTGACCATGACTGTGGCATGCATGAAAACGTCATCGCAAACGTTCACATGTGAAGTCATACAAAAAGTGTCGGGAGCTCAGTGCACTGATCGTGGCTCTCTCCGTCATGCATGTGGTGTGACGTACCTTGCAGTGGCATATCCCTGGGAGGCATGACATCTTCACCATCTTGTTCGCCATCGCTGAAGTCGTCATCGTCGTCGTCGTCGTCAGAGTCCTCTCGGTACTCCGGCTCGTCCTTCTTCTTGTTGTTCTCATTGTCATCGTTGTCGTCTCCTGCCGCGGCAGCGGCCGGTGCCGTGGTTCTAAAGCCGCGCCTGGCCCCGTTCGGCGCAGCAGCAGCGGCGTTGCGCCACTGCCTGTCGCGCCAGGTCTGCACCGACAGCGACGACCCACTAGTGCCGGTCGGACCGCGGCTGCAGCGCAGCGCTGGTAGCGGTGTGGTGGAGAAGGGCAAGTTGGCACCACGGGGAGAAGGGAGAGCTCCGGCAACGGAGAGGCCACTCCTGCATTGCGGCGCCCACCCTCGACCGCCAGTCCGCAGCAGCGACGGGGTGGCTGTGGAAAGAAGATGAATTTAAATGAGTATAATTGAAAAAAACCTGTCTTGCTGGCCAGATTGATGATCATGTCAGGGACGAAAGCTCGGATGGTGCAGCCAAACCTGAGTGCTTCAGCCAAGATCGGGAGCGCAGCATCGTTCTATGGCCCCTTGTGAGTTTGTGTGCGATCGCTTTGCTGGCGGTGTTCAAAGAATTCCAAGTATTGGCAGGAAGCAAAGGAAAATGAAAAGAAATCTTTGCTTTTTGCGGCTGTGTCTGTTCGCGCACGATGGCACACCCACGCTGGGTGGTATCCCTCCTGATAGTCCTGGCCTCCGCTTGCTTCTGCTGTGGCAGTCTGTGGCCTTGGACGAGCTCTCAAGTTCAAGATGACGTTGGGCACCAGCAACACGACGACGTTCTTGACGCAGCGCGCGACAAGATCTTCGCCTGTCTGGAGTCCTGGTCCGAGCGCGACACGGAGTACCTGGCCAGCGAGTGCTTCGACGCGCACCGGTTCGAGATGAAGGAGCCCATCCCCATCCCCTCCATGGACGCCGAAGAGTACCTCGAAGCGCTGGACCAACTCCTTCCCGCCATGCCCAGCGCCCGCAGCACACTGGGACCCGTGGTGCTGGTTGACTACGACGGTGCTCGGCTCGAGGGGGCTGAGGACGGCAGGCTCAAGTTTGCCTATCGCTGGCACTTCAACGGTACCTTCCTGCCGAAGGTCAAGTGGCTGGGCTGGGTGGGCCAAGGCCAGGAGGTGGCCTACGACGCCTTCAGCGTGGGCACGGCCACCTGGCACCGCGAAGGTGAGGGCATTAAGGTGCGGATGACGGAGATCAGGAACTACTACTCTGTCATCGAGGTCATGCTCCTATTTGCTCTGCCCGAGGAGATGGACCCGAGGCGTCTGCGCAGTGACTACACCAACGACGCCCTTGAGCGGCGTACCGCCAGACTCGACGCCAGCCAAGTGGAAGGTCCCTCGCGCACGCGCACCACCGCACACGCGCACGCACACACCATTATCAAGAGCTCCGTTCTCACCTGGGTATGGGTGCGGCTGCAGGACAGTGCGAACGGATCAGGGAGGCTCTCACGGGCGATGGAAGTGGTCTCGCGGCTCTATTCGCGCCAAGCGTCGAACTGTGGCGTCCCTACCCGATCAGGCCGGTGGTTCGTGGCGTTGATCAAGTGCTGAGTGAGCTGCAGCAGGAGAGGAGCACCTTGAGCCACAACAGCAGGGGCTATCGGCTTCTAGTGTTGGAGCACTTTGCCGGGCTAGGTAAGTTGGTGTCGTGTGCCGTGTGTGCCGTGTGTGTGATGCCAATGGATCCTCCACCAGGCCATTGCACTATTGAGTACCACAAGAGAGGCGTGGCACAAATGGAAGAGGAGCACGACCTCTGGGGCTTCCGGGTCTTCCTCTCTCATGACGACGCGGACGAGGTCGAGCCGACCATCGACTGGGAAGGTATGGTCGATTCCCCAGCCGAGAGCAACACAAGCCGGGGCAGTTCACTTACCTTGGCTTCGGGTCAGGAGTGTACGAGTTCGCGTTGGACGAAGACCTGCGCGTGGCGGTGATTCGCGAGCACTTCGACCCACAGCTGGTGTCGGTGCAGATGGCCGACTTCCTCGAACGCGTGCGGGACCAGTGGGGCACTCCTTCACCCCAAGCAGCCGGATCAGACAATCACGACGAACTATAGGTGACGCTCGCTCGCATAAAGTCGTAAGAGGTGTCAGATTAGATGTACTCGACCAATCGCCAGTCATAGCGCCCCACGTCCTTGGCCACTCCCGGTCGGTAGACCATGCATCGGTTCTCCACCACTTCGAAGCCGAACTTGGCGTAGAGCTTCTGCGCACTCCTGTAGGCCGAGTGGTTAGGGGTTGAACCTTTCGCTGGTACGTGCCAACGGCAGCTGACGTACTTGGTCATGAGGAAGACGCTCCGCACGTTGGTGACGTAGTCCGTGGCGAGGATGTGGTCGAGGAACCACTTGGACAGGCCGCGCTTGCGGTGGCGCTTATCGACATACACATCCGACAGGTAGGTGAACGTCACGTGGTCCGTGTTGAGCCGACTGTGGACAACAAGGCGGCCGGCGCAACACGGCACGGGTTAGCTCTGCAGCAAGGCCGAAGCGCTGGCAAAGGAAAGGAGGGGCGCCCGAACCAAAAGCCTACGAACTCGCCGGTTGGGCTCAGGAGCGAGAAGGGGACGCTGTGCTTCACCTGGCCAGAAGAAAGATGAAGAAAATCCAGATTAATAAATGCACAAATAGATAATTGTTAAAAATAATAAATGGATGAGGGGGGGGTACGGCGAGGGCGACGCGCTCTTTCGTGATGTCAACCGACCAGTAGGCTTCGGTGGAGAGGAAGCGGTGGAGCGCCTCCAGATCGACGCGCTCCGGATCGTTCGTGAGGATGTACCCGGATTCATGCCGCCATTCTCCTGCCACCTCCGTCGTGGCTCCGGCTCCAGCTCCAGCTCCAGCCTCCTCCGCCATGGCCGCCTGCTGGTGGAAACCCGCTGGTGGACCTAAAATAAAATAAAATAAAATAAAATAAATTGAAACGGAAGACCTTCTGGCATTCTGTTTACACTTGACTCCGTCATTCGGGAGGGTTCTGACAGGCGTATCGTACAGGGATATGTTTATATTTACAAGGTGTATGGTACATGACGGGTGGTGATGGGCACATGTTAATCCCCCGCGCATAAATAGACAGGGGTGGTCGCTTTTCGCTTTTTCTGGCCGTTGCCATCAAGGTTGACGAGAGCGAGTCGTTTCGGCGTCGGCCTCCTCGCGGCCTTGGTGGGACGAAGGCGAAGCAGCCGCTTCTGATGAAGGGGTGGTCGAGATGATGGTGGTGGTGGTGGGCGAAGGGAAGTACTGCGAGTCAGGCAGGGGCAGGCCCAACGTAGGCGCCACTGACCCGTTGTCGCAGCCGTGGCTGTGGCTGTGCTCGGCCGCCAACCGCCCCGTGACCTTGTAGCGGCCCTCGGCCGGCTCGTGGCGGAAGAGGACGCCCCAGTCTTCCTCCTTGGCCTGAAGGTTGGCCGCGAGGGAGGTCTCGAGCCACTCGTCGATGTCCTGCCGGTCCTGGTCGGTCAGACCCGGCTGCTGGCCCTCCTCGACGAAAAGCTGCCGCGCCGCAGGCTCCCTGCTGCTGCAGCGGCGGCGGGCCGGCTTACACCGCACCGGGCGAGGCCCGAGTCCAGGGCTGCCCACCGGGCTGCCCTCCGCGTTGGACTCGCGCTTCATGGTGGTCGTGGTGGTCGGCGACAAAGGCTGGTGGTGTATTGAGGGTCTGGCTGGAAGGTGTGGGTTGTTGGAGGAGGCGGCGGCTCTTCACGAGAGAAGATGTATAACTGAGGAAGCTTGCAGGCGGCTTGCAGTCGCTGACGTAGGTTGGTGGCAACAACAAGAGGTCGACCGTTGGTGATGGTGGTGGTGTCGGTTGTGGTGTTAGTCTTGGTCTTCTTGGGTCGGTGGCTGGTGCTGGCGCGAGAAGTTGATGTCGGTTCCCGAGATGCGATCGGTTGTGGTGTCGGCGGTGGTGGTGGGAAGCGCGAGAAGAGTTGTGTCGGTTGGTGAGGAGAGGTTGGCGAAGTCTGGCAGGTGAGGACGGGCACCGACGGCCGGCAGTAGGTTGCAGTTGTTGTGGTGGCGACTGTGGTTGCTTGAAGAAGAAGAAGACGAAAGCGAACTTGTGTTGAACTGGTGGTGGTGGTGATGCAGGACCGTTTTGGCGGGAGTATCCAAGCTGACGGACAGAAAGCAGTCTGTGGAGTGGGGCGTGGTGTCAAGGAGGGATAAGGTGAGGAGGCGAGATGTACGGGGGGGGGATAGAAGATAGGCGAAGCCAGTTGAGCGAAGCGGCTCCCTGTGACCGACGTCGTTGGGCGGGAACCTTCGAGCAGCCATCCGCAAACACGTTCGCTGCCCTTGGAATACCTGGAAAAGAGGACGAATGCAGATCCAAGAGCGCCACAGCAACACTGACTTAAAATGACCAATAATGTGATGCCAATTCCGACAAAATAAATATTACCGTTCGGTCAATCACCGTGTAGCTGCAGTTGCAAGGTCGTTGCACACACCGGCGTTTTGCTTCTTTAGGTCTGGGCAGCGGGCCGCACGCAATCAGAGAGGCATCATCGCTCAGGCGTAGGCCATGATTTCGTCCCACTTGTGGTCGCCCAACACCTCGTCGCTGATGGCCTGGATGACGCCCTGGTAGACTTCTTCGAGCAGCTGCGGGTCGGCGATGGGGATGTGCCGCACGACGCCCCCGCGAGCCTCCGGGCCGGCGCCACCGCCGCTGTGCGAGGAGGTCCCCGCCACGGACGACGACGAGGAGGAGGAGACGGACGAGGCGGTGAGCGAGGGCGGGAAGTAGGCCGAGGCGCCGGCGGTGAGCGTGTAGAGGCCCTTCTTCAGGCCCTGCAGCGCCACGAGGCGCACGCCCAAGCCCGGAACCTTCTCTACCGAGCCCTCCATCTTGATGCCTGCGCGCCAAAGACAGACACACACACGAGGCCGCGTGGACACGAACATCAAAAATAAAAAGAGAAGAAGTAAGACACTTCTGCTTTTAGCCCCAAATTTTTGGGTAGCCCAACTCGCTGCGGACCCGAGGTTGAGGGGATGCAAGGGTGGAGAGGGAGAATGGAGAGGGGGGGGGGTGACGCACGTTCGAGTCGCACACGCCACTCTTGTTTGTACTTGGGCGCATCCTCCGAATTGACCCAAATGACGGCCCTGTTGTGGCGCGAAGAAGGCGGACGGAGTTAGGCTTAAAGCTGAAGGCGTGAGGTCGCCCAGCTCGCTTGGTTTGTGGTGTGGTGGCTGGCCGCCAGCGCAAAATTCTCAAGGCTTGGTCGGTGGTGGTGCAGTGCTCGCGCTTTGGTGTGTGCGCGCACTCGAGTGATATGCTTTGGGTCGTGTGCAGGCGATAAGAAGAAGGATAGGCGCTGGCCTTCTCCCGTCATTCCAATTTCCCAACCCAAAAAGGCGTGAAAAGAGCCAAAAATTTGGTTGTATGGGTGGCCGTAAGTGTGTCTGGCACACAGGCAGCGACAAAACAGAACCGCCGCGACTGCCAAACCGCTGGGCTTTGTGGGACGTGGGAGGGGAAAAGGAAAGAGCCGAGGGAGGGCGTACTTGTTCGTCACCAACAGCACACGCCGCTGGTCGTCGAATCGTTCATGGAACCGATACCACTCGGACTGGTAGGAGCCATTCCTCAGCGTGTACAAGATGAATTGTCCGTAGGCCTTCAGCTCCGAGTACGGCTGTGTGAGTCGCACAGGTGTGAGGAGTGAGTCGTCTTCTTCTTCTTCTCCGTTTTCCAATGAACGTGAGTGCAAGAGGGCGTACGAGGATGACTTTGTCCTGCCCGATATACCGGGGCAGACGGATGCGCTCGCGGGAGTGGACGTGCGATGAGTCGGCTTGGTTGCGCACTCCCTGGGTTGTCTTGGTCAACGAATCCAGCACGCCCACTGTGGGCTTGACCACCACACTAGATCGGATCCGCGATGCATGCACGTGAGCGAGGAAAGTGGTAATCGAGAAAGACGCAGTGGGAGAATAGTGTACCCCAGCACCCCCGTGGCCAGACCCTTGGCCAAGCCGCTCGGCGAGAAGTGGTGTGAACCATCCGAGCCCTTGTTGGTGGCTCCGACGATGGGATCCACCTGCACCATGGCCGAGGAAGAAGCACACACACACACACACACAGAGGTGAGGCTCAACAAGGAGAGAAGGCCGTACCGAGGTACGACATGCATGAAGAGAAGAAGGAAACCGTACAAAGACGCCGGCCACGCCGGAAGCAAGCCCTTTGCCCAAGCTCTTGGCGCCTTGTAGAAGACCCTGCCCCGCGTTGGTGGGCTGTTCTCGAATTCGTTGGATGCGTTCCTCCCTATCGAACGTACCGGGCAAAAAGGGAGGTGAGTCGCGGCGTCAAGAAGAGAGGAAGGATCTTCAAGGGAAGAGGTAGGGCAGGGCGGTACTGGAATTGGTGGTTCACAGAGATCTTGGTGATGCCCGTGGCGACGGTGTCCGTCACCTTGCTGAGCGAGTTGGTCACACCGACCATCGAGTTCTTGACCAGAGAAGAGGTGCCCTATGTAACACCAACCAGAGAACAGTGGTCACTTTCGTATTTTACTCGAGGCGATGAGTAACGTGCGCGGTGCAGTACCTTGGAGAGGCCGGCGCCGATGTCCTTGGGGTTGGTGGCGAATGCTTGGATGGGCTGGAAGAAGAAGTCCTTCACGCCGGTTCCCAGGTTGCTCACCAGCGACACCGGGTTACCCAGGAAATCGAACGACCCCAACACCTTGTACGCCTGCATCGCAGTGATAATCGCACACGCACACGCACACGCACACGCACACGCACACGCACACGCACACGCACACGCACACGCACAATTGCCATAGATAATTTTTAGTGCTTCACACTCTTGTTCGGCCGCAGACAAAAGGGGTGAATGGTGGGAGAGGGCACCTCGCGAATGGCCTGGCGAATGTAGTGGGACGAGATTCGTTGGACGAGCTCGTTGGAGGTGGCGAAGGGGTGGTGGATGTCCAGGTAGTTGAGTCGAATGGGCGCCCTGTCGATATCGGGGATCTTGATGCCGAAGCCCAGCACGCCGAACGCCCAACGGACCGGATTTTCTCTGTACGAGGGCGGGTGAGCCAGTGGCATCACGCGATGAAAGAGAGTCGGCCTCTCGTGAGGGGAAGTGCGTACTCGTCGGCCGGCGTGTTGGGGGTGGTCATCAGGGTGACGTGAAGCGCGATGGGGTTGATCGTGAGTCGTTCGAAGTAGAGCTTCTTGGCTTCGACGGTCGACGTGGGCCGCACCAGGTTGCCGATATTTTCGCTGCGTGGTATGTAGCACATCACATGAAATGAGCGAGCGTCGAAGGCGATTCGATGGAGGGGGAAGCGGATGATGCGTACATGGTCGTGACTTCCTCCACGGTTTGCTCGGTTTTGCCCCAGTTCGATATGTTGAGGGAGAAGAAGTTGACCATCTTCAGCAGGAATTGCTCCTCGATGTAGATGTCCATTTCGTTCAGGCTCAGCTCCGCCAGCTTGTAGTAGTCTGATAGTGCGACGCGGTTGTTGAGCTACGCATGCGCCGAGAACGGTGTGCGGTGGACACGACAGCAACGTACCGATGGACGAGGCCAGCTCCTTGCTCTTTTCCAGCTCGCGAATTGTGGGGTTGCGCTTGACTGCCCTCATGCGCACGAACGGAGCAGCGTTGGGGTCCTTGAACACCACCACCGGCAGAGGCGTGGCATAGAGCATGTTGTCCACCTGCAGCAAAGGGTGTCAACACACACTCTTGCAAGAGTTCAGGCCTCACTCACATAGCTCGGCCGGCTGGTTGTTACCTGGAACTGGTGCACGCAGAAAGATGCGTACGAGGCACCGTAGGCCTCCGAGTAGCAGTACTCCACGTGAATGTCGCCAAAGGACACGTAGACGACCTCTTGCGGGGTGGCGTCGATGAGCGAGATGCCGAGACCGTGCTTGAGCTGCAGGGTGAACTTGGTCGAGGGCTTCTGCGCCACGCGCTCCTGCAGCTCCTCGCCCTTTTCGTGCGCCTCCCGCTTCAGCGTCTGCGGGAACTTCTTGCTGTCGACGATCTTCAGGTGCCTCGTCGGACCATCCATGAACACCTGTACACGTCGATAAGTAAACCATGAGCCAAGTTGAGAATTGAGGCCACCACTGGGAAGGGGGGGTTCGAATTATACCTCGGCTTGGAGGAGAATCTCCTGGGCCTGACCATCGACGGGCACCACGTTCTGTAGGGTGGCACGTCGGAGTTTGTGCAGTTTGATCTGGTCCAGGTTGTAGCTATGTACAAAGGTGGTGGATGCGAGCTCCACCGTAAGCTCGTGTTTCTGCCGACGGAAGGAGGTCGAGGTGAGTAATGTGTTATTAGCGTGTGCGAGCGAGCGGCCACTGCACTTGATAAGTAAAGCAAGCATGTTGGGTACCCGCGATGGTGCATCCCAACAGTAGGGGACCGTTTCCAGCGAGGCCAGGACTTGTGGAATGCCGACCGCCTGTCGACATGCACGACAATTGTGAGCAAAGTACACTTGAATCAACTCAACACCACTTTTTGGGCGCAAGGAACCTTCTGGTAGATGGTGAGCGGGTAGCTGGTCCAGTTGGTGATCTTGTACGGGGGAAGCTTTTCCTCTCCGTAGAAGATGACGAAGCAGGTGG